AGAGAAAGAAGAAGACAGCGGGGGAAAGGCGGCGAGGGAGGTAAGGAAGAAGAAGGGGATTGGCGAGGAAGAAGTGTCGGCAGCCATAGCTGACCGGGGAGTTGACCGCGAGGGTTGACCGGAGGTGTTGACCGGAGTTGACCGAAGTTGACCGAGGGTCATAGCAGCATTGATCGGCGTTGACCAAGGCATTGACCAAGACTTTGACCAAGCTGGAGTTGGTAACATCTCACCACGCCCTTAGCCTGCCCCTTGCCCTATGGATGTGCACATACCCCTTGGTACTTGCTGAGTACAGTCTGTCTGTCTATTCTTTCTGCATTGAGTCTCTTTTGTCCTAGGTCATAGAACTCTGTGGATGAAGGATAGGGCCTTGCTGCCAAACCTGCACGGGACTTAGTAGGACTAATCTCTACTCTGGTATCTGGAGACCTGGGCATGATGGGCGAGCGCTCGTTAAACAACTCGTCTAGCCCAATGACCGGTACTGTCCGGCAGGTCTGTTCAGTTTCAGTGTAGAGGATCTAAACTCTGAGCTGCAGGCTGAAACGGAGGCCGTCGTTAAGTGTTGAGGGTCTGTTGGAACCCCTACCAAACCAAGTAAGGCTGATGATCTGTGTCTGACGACTCGACTGTCCCGGGGATACGAACCCTCCCAAGGACCGGTACAGACCGGCGGGTTGCTCAGTGTGGCACAGTAGGCCGGAAAGGCTGAGTTGTGGGCTGAAAGCACAGGCAGAACCAAGCTGATCACGTCGTCCTGTCTGCGACGTTAAAAAATTCTTGAGGAGTTACGGGGGATCTCCTTAAATGCCTCCTGATCAGCCACTGGTTCAGTAGTGACAGCCATAGTGTAGGTCTAGGCTAGAGACCATAGTTGACAGGATCCCTGTCAGGATTCTGTGAGTCTTAGATTGAGTCTGTAGGTCTGTTAGTCAGGGGTTGACGTCTACGTCGTGAGGTTTGGAACCACTAACCCGGTTGTACACTTATCACCATGGTTGAGACCCATAGTGGGAAGGAGACTAGCCCCTACACCACTGAGCAGCAAGAAAAGATGGCCGCCTTAGTTAGAGAGAATAAGGAGAGGAAAGAGCGTGAAAATCAAGCCAAGCTAAAGGCTATCGCAGACGAGCAGGCGGCGAAGATGAAGAGATTGGAGGAGGAGATGAAGAGGGTACAACAGGAGGAGGAAGAAAGAAGGAAGGTTGCTGAAGCAGAAGCGGCAGCAGAAGAAGAGAAAGAGAGAATGAGAATTGAGAGTGGAGAAGGGAGCAGTGGCGGCACGATGAAGTGGGAGACAGATACTGAGCTGGAGAAGAAGATCAGCGAGTGGGTCGCTAATTTATCGTTGGGGGAAGACGAGGAGGCGGAATCCTATGTAACTAAGGATGAGAAGGCTGCGCTAGCCGCTGAGCTAGCAGCCATGACAGACCCAATGGAACGAAGTTAGAGGGAAGACGAGCAAAAGTTAGCATGGAAGTTGAGAATGAAGAGGGAGAAGAAGAGGAGGAGAGAGGAAGTGAATAAGATGACCGCAGTAGTGGCAAAGGTGCAGGAGTGTAGAGCGGAGGTGCTGGCCCAGCCAGATGATAAGGCCAAGTGGGACAAAGTACTGGGCTATCTAGAGGTATTGAGCAAGGCCTGGATGGAGGAGCGCCAGGCAAGCTGGAGCCAGGATGTAGCGTTGAGTGCCATGCGGTNCTGGATGGAGGAGCGCCAGGCAAGCTGGAGCCAGGATGTAGCGTTGAGTGCCATGCGGTCCGGGTTCAGGGATTTTGCGCGCGAAATCATCACCCCCATTGGGGGCGAAGTCAAACAGTTGAGGGACAATGTAGGAAAGTTTTGTGAGGGCGCCATTCAGGGTGCCAAAGCTGCAACCGCTGTAGAAGGAGAGGGCAGACCCCGTAGAGACCCAGTGAAACTTAAGTTCCCAGACGCGTACGGGGGAAAGAAGGACGAGAACTTTAACAACTGGGAGGCCAGTGTCAATAGTTACATTTATTTACAGCATATCCTGATAGAGGAGCAAGTCCTCGTGGCCTTCCAGTCCCTGAAGGACAAAGCGGCTAGCTTCGCTAGGTCTCTCGCGCGTATAGCCGGTTGTGAAAACAACCTGGTTGCGTATTCCAAAGTCACTCCTCTTTCCCAATTCCTCAAGCTCCTCAAGGAACGTTTCGCTGACCCAACGCGAGGCATTAGAGCCTCTGATAAGCTCCAAACGATCCACTCTCGGCAGTGGAGGAGTGCTAAGGCACTCAAGAGTACTATGGACAACTTGGTAGCCGTTCCGGACCACGGGGTCACTGAGCCCCAGCTGGTCCAGTTGTTTTATCGTGCCATTCCAGAGGCCCTACGCGGGCATTTCTTTGACAAACTCAACAGGTCGGCATGACTTACGACGCGTTGAGTAGAGAAGTCGTCCTGTATGAGTCGAAGTCTATGCCAGTTACTACTTTCTGGCATAAGGACCTGGAGAAGGGGAAGAAGTGGAAAGATTGTACCATCTCGGGCCAAGTCAAGGCCAAGGATCACTTGATCCTGACATTAGAGGAGGGTGGTACAGAAGAGGTCCCATATGATCAACTTGAGTGGGGCCTAGGGGAGGAGTACAGCAGTGTAGGGCAGGGGAGGTCTTACGCTGCTGTCGCGGCCGGAGGGAGGCCGCAAGGTAGAGGAGGAGGCCACGGCCAAAGGGGCCAGGCCATGGGAGGCCGAGGACCGGGCGCACAGGGGGTTGGCGGACAGGGAAACCGCCAAGCGAGAGGTAGGGGTCAAGGTCCCCCGTTAAATCGCTAGGGTAACCGGTCCCCACAGCGAGGAGGTGGAAGGGCACCTCAAGGAGGTTGGCATCCAAGCTTGCTGCAGGGCAGGCCCTGGGAGGATCTGGGTTTGGACCAGCACTTATGGCAGGAACGGGTGAACCTGGGTCAGTGCGTATTCTGTGGTGACCCGGCGCACGTAATTAAATTTTGTCCAAAGCATAGACAGGCCCGTCGGGCTGCCCAGCAGTCAAAAGGCAGCCGCCAGTAGGGGTCGCAACTGCCCCTACTTCCAGGCCATGTGGAAAAGTGAGCGCGCGCGAACAGAACACTCCCAACCCACATGAGCCTAGGGCAAAGGTTGCAGGCCCGTGCCTAGATAGTTGTCCAGAGACTACTTGTGTTAGCGTCTCTTTAGGCACGTCCCTCACAGGTGTGGCAGAAGAGTTAAAAGAGAGAATGCCAACCTGGGCCAAAATGAAAAGGGAGAGTAAGGGAACTGATTTTGGTAGATGTAGAGGTGTTCAGATGTAGAGTAGGGGCCCTTATAGATTCAGGAGCTACCCGTAGTTATATTAGCCGAAGGGCGCTGAAGAAGTTGAGGCTAGGACTAAAGGTCCAGAAACTAGTAGACCCCATAGTCAGTGTCCTCGCAGACAACCGCACGATGCGCGTTGAGGACTACGTAGAGGGAGTCCA